TAACTGTAGCTGACGATGGTTTGTTCACAATGTATTGTACTTCGCAATATTATTCTGGTTGGATTTCTTGCGTTTTTCAGTAATTTCGAAAATAATTTTCTCGAAATGTCAGCGTTTTTATGTGCTCATAAAAGTTTCAGAGTGCTTTTCCTCATTTTAGTTTGTTATTTACACTGACTTGTGTTAGACTTCTTGTCATAAACAAAGCTTTCATGTACTATTTATCAGGGCTATTAAACGGAGAAGAGTTGTTTAGGGAAATTATAGCTAAACTAACTATTTTCATACAAAATTCATTTTGGAAGCAGTATTTTGTAGAACTAAAAATTTTTAAAATGTTTTCAATTTAAAATATAGAGTACCAAAAATAGTTATTTCTCACATCAAAAGCGAAATACAGATAAAAAAAGGAAATTTATGAATATTTCTAACCGAAACACTATTAATAAATTAAACAAAGAGTGTTAAAAATTGATGAAAATTTATTAAAAATAAAATTTACAAAGAACCAAAGCAAACACGAACCACGCAAGCGCAAAGATTTTAAAATTCAAAATCACATTTTTAAATTTTAGTCATAAACATAGGATTTGTTTTTTTTTCAATCCGGTATTTAAAATTAGATTTGTAAATTATTTGTAATTAAAATTTTGGGAATTACAAAATAAAACAAAATTTTATTTAAATGTTAATTCAATTACTTTTTATGTTAATTCAATTGTATTTTTAATGAATTAATTGTAAGCCTGTTTTCAGGGCAGTGGATATTGGTGATCATGGTTCTCTCTCCAATTTTAAGCATCAATAAACAATATGCATTATAATATATTATCCATCTGCTTTACATTTCCATCGTTACTTATACATCTTTTATTATCGTAATAAAAGATACACAATGAATAATTGGGAGTAATTTATTTACATTCAAATATTAAGCAAAAAATATAATTTTCGTTGGTTCAGTAATTTAAAGTTTTAGAAGAAGATGATGAATCCGAAGAATGATCAAAATCTATTTTAACATATGAATCATTTTCTGCACTTATTGTTGGAGAAGCAACATTTTCAATTTTTTGGAATTTCGCATTATCTTTGGTACTGCATTGCGGCAGATCTAGCTTTGCGTAATATAATTCATAACTGGAGCAAGCAGTTGAAGATGTAGGCGTGGTAATATGCGGTGTTTTATTTTCGTTTATACAGCTCGGCAGCCCATAATCGCTTTCTCTATTATCTATGATGGTCAAAAATGTGAGAGAATCTTTGAATCGAGCGACTGATGAAAGTTTGTTGGCGTTGGTCAATGGTGCTAATGGCAAGGAAGGCACGTTTGATGAAACAGAATATTTATCATTTATTCCTGCTAATGGCAATTTTCGCTCTCTGTTAGAAGAGGATTCTGCTTCTTTAGAGCTGTAATTTTTACCATGTATGTTGTCTAGCAAAGAACATTTCGTACTATATTCCTCATGGAATATGATTTTTGTAGTTTTAATAATTTTCTCAGTATCAACCATAGAAATACTTTTTAGTTTCAGTTTCTTAATTGTTTTGAAGTTGGTTGAACTGAAAGTTGGGAATATATGCACGAAGATAAGTAATTTCTCAGAGTTCGAGTATACTATTAAGTTTTACTTCTTCCAAATGTGTGATTCGATTTTCTTATGTAATACAAAATCAAGTTCATTAGTAGGCATACACAACTGATTTTGTTTACTGTTTGTGAGTTTTCCTCAAATAGATAATTCCGTGGGAATATATTTGTACTTCCTTTCTTTTTACGCGTGATGTAGATGTAATGTCACTTTCTTTTGTTGTGTCGGAAAAGCTTTCGTTTGAATGTGACAGGGAAGTCTTATGCATGGAACATATTTCTTGATTCAAAGGCTTCATTTCCAAGTATCCACTTTCTTCATGATTTATTTTTTTAGACGAAAATGTTTGTAACAACTCGCTAACAGGTTTTGATGTCTGATAACCCTTTACTTCGTTTAACGATACATCAGAACAATTTCCACTGCCAGGTACAGCTTTTCCATCTTTTTTATGGCTAGAACTTTTCGAAAAATCAATTTCCATTAGATCACTCATACAATCCACAGATACTTAACTATTTTGGACCAATATAGGAGCACTCGTTGACTTTTTATCACAATTCGTATTTAATCCCAATTTATAACCAGTATCGTCAGCCCCAAAATTTAAACTATTGTTACTAATACAACTCTGATTACAGCGGGATCTGGGAAATAAAACAGCACGCTGTAAGTCACATTTAGAATTCGAACGAGATCCAACTGAAAACGCTCGGACTCGGATAGCGTTTTTGTCATGTAAAATCTCGTTCGAATTTCCCGATCGTTTGATTTTGTTTCTGTCTATCTTACTTCCAATTGAATACCATCGTTTAGGACGTTCCTCACTGTAAAATCAACAAATTTATTATATCAATATTTTGAAAATATTACAAAATTATATACTGTATTATTCAAAAATAAGCAAAAGTTGCAATTTAATATCCCTATTGTGGAAGGTATCGTGTATACATATTTTTGACGATTATAACAAAATTTTCTTTGCGTGATTATTACTCGAAACCCTGTATTAAAAGTTATGTTCACATTTCGAGAATTACGTTTCTACAAAATCTTTTGCGTTAAATGCCCAAGTTTTCGAATTAAATAATATTGGCATCTTTAGAGGGTATGATTTTATGAAACTAGAACTTTACAAACTATCCACTTATGAGAAGGGTTTGTGCTTATTCACACACGAATCTTTTGATGCCGCAACTCGTAGTTTGTTAGCGAGGGCGCGAAGAGAAAAGGCGATTGCACCGAGTTATGATATTGTTTGTAACAGTTTGCTGTTACGTAGTTCGGTATTCCGTTTAATTTTGAAATTCTTTCCATCGTTGCAATTTCGTTCGGTTTCAAAAAAATATTTAAAATGTGTTACCGATTTTCCGCTAGATCACCAATTGATTCCTCTACTTGTTTATTTGAAAGACTTCAACGACGTTTGCATTGATCCACTTACTATGTATCTCTCCCAGTAACTGGACTAAACAACACGGCTTCAACGAAGAATATTTTTGGAATATAGCTTTGTTCACCCTTCGGAAGAAATTACAAGATATTAACACAAGCATTTATTCCGAATAGCCCTCAGGTAATTTACTCTCATACCCAATAAAATCATAGCTGTGCCCTCAGACTCTTTGATTCATTCTAGCAGATAGAGCTGCAAAACAATCGATGGGACTATCGATAGTTTTATTTTCGTCTCACTATCGATAGTTTATTTTGTGTAAGTTAGGCAGATTTACCAACAATTTTCAAAAATTACAAAATCACTTAATAAAGCTACTTAATGATATAGTCTGTAATACCAAATGAAATTCTAATTTTGGATAACATCCCAACAAGTCACGGCTACGGAACTCATACATTAAAGGAATTATCGAGGAACTAACACATAAGCCCAATACATAAGAAAGAGATGAATGATCACAGTACGTAAGAGTTTCAATTAGAAATGTCATTGGCCTTAAGAAACTCATAGAAACTTTAACAGGAATCTCTTATGAGCTGTGGGTAATTAGTCGTGATTTAACAGACTGGTGGCTTGCAGGGCTGGTAGCCTCGAGTTGCGCGAGTTGCCATCTCAACTTCCTTTGAGATGCTATCACAGAAGTCACCACGAATCGGTGCACTGGGATATTCGAATCAGTCTACGGACACAAATGTTGTGTGACGAATGAACATAATTAGGAACTACCGTTAAAACAAGAGAATGACAAAAACTACGTTTAGAACGGCGAAGCGGCGGACCGTATGAGTCAGTCGTGTATTAGTATTGATAACTTGCGCATTTGGTTTCAAATTCCATACAGAAATTCGCTAAAGTCATATACAAATTACATGCCAACAATTAAAGTTCAAAAGGAATGAAATAAGAACTCTAGTATGAGTTTTAATGCCAAAGACAGACATATAGTCAGGGCTGCGACCCATTCCAAAACTCCATGCGGTTCGGTTCAGTGGTTCGAACCACTAAGAAAAAACTTTTACCGGTTCAAGAACCTGTTTATAAGTGTCTCTGAACCGCGGTTCGGTTCAAATGGTTCAATATTTTATACTAACTGATGTAAAAATGTTTGTGCATATTATGTATGTACGAAAAAAGGCTTTAAAGTTGAGATCAAATTCATGTATTCATTTCATATTCAAATTCATGAATTCATTTACATATTTCACATACATATTTATCATATCAGTATTGACATTTACTATTATATAATTACACATACTTTTATTGGAGCGAATTTATACTTAAAGAAGTGACATATCTGAGGTTAATAGCAAAGGCTACAAGCATGTTACTTCGATTAACATTTTAATAAGATATTTTATAAATCGCAGCAATAACGATTTCTTGATTACTAGCATATAAGTTTTTAAAGAATGTCTTCTAATAGTCTTGTCTATACTTGCTCTTAAGTCTGATAAAATAAATTGTATAGTTGAAAATGCTCTTTGACCGACATTTGATTTGCAGGAGCACCTAACGCGATCTCGCTAACTTTTAACTTTTCTCTGTATAGTTTTGCCGAAATTGCAAAATTCTGCAAGTAGTAAAGATGTTAAATATTGTCAAAACAATTAATTAGTTCACAATCGTTTTTAGTTGGTAAAGTTTCCTTTTATTCAATTGTTCAAGTATGGATTCAGTTCCTAAATATGTATTTTAGATTTGAGATCGAAAATTTTAATCAAATGTTTTTTTGCAAAATCTTTTTTCTGAGTCTTATAATAAAATCTGATACCTGGGGTCTAAATAAACGACAGCTAAAGCACTAGAATTAGTTAATTAATATTCCCCTCGTTCTGTTAATGCAGTCAGAAACTTGCGACTTAACCACCCAACGTTTTTTTCATGTTGTATCGATCGAGTAACGCATTCAATAGCTGGCTTATTTGTTTTCTAGTCGTAACAGATTCAACAAGGTATGTATGTCTAAGCTTTTTTACTACGGATTTCACTTTGCTGCGGATTTCATCTATTTCCTTTAGGAAATCTGACACTGCTCAATTTAGGGTATGTGCAGCACACCTAATGACACTTATGGAGTTATGATATAAAAAGTTGCCTCAAATTCTTCAAACGTGGAATTTGGAATGGTTGCGCCGGAAATTTGTCCACTGTTTCCATCGTCGTCATCTCCGTCATCCATGTCAAAATCTAAATTTACAAATAATTTTTAGCTAATTATAAATATATTAATAAGATCCAAGACATATATTTTTAGTTACCTTGATGCGTGACTTAATTTCCTTCTTCTTCAGTATACCAGCCGTGACTTTGATGGAAGTTTTGAACATTTTTATTAAGAAAGTTTTAGACACATATCATATTCGCCGCATTGTCGACAGTTATGGAGTAACTTCTGTCTATATTTATTTCATATGATTTTAAAACTTCTATTATTATATTCGACAAGTTCAAGCCGGTGTGCTTTTTTCCCAAATATTTCTTTTATTGACAGAGTGTGTATTAGCAAATCTCCATTTTCAATGTATTGTGCATTTATTCCTATTATGAACCTAATCGACTAACACTGTCCGCTTTTATGGAAAGTAGATTGCAGTAGGAAAAGACAATAGAAGACACATATATTGAATCGGAGTAAGCTTTAAAGCTGTTGGTACAGGACAGACTATGAAGCTACACTTTACCCGTCAAAAGGTGAGGGTGTGGGAGGGCACTCCTGGTGCGTGCCCTCCAACGTGTCAAATTGTAGCTTTACTTATGGCGTTGCCATCAAATAAATTTGTAGCAGGGTTGCATTTTTAAGCAAGTCGTTCATTAGTGTTTATTTGGGCTTATTTTCATTTTGAACCAAAGCGAGCCATTTTTTTGATAGATTTTCGGTTCGGTTCTCGCATTTTTAAATAAAATCGGTTCGGTTCTTGATACAGTTCAACGCTTTTAAAAATAGCCGGGTCCATTCCGGTTGGGTTCAAAACCGGTATGCAGCCCTGCATATTGTAGTATACTAAAGATTGTAGTATACTAAAGAAACCATATGTGTGTCAATATTGTAGTATACTAAAGAAACCATATGTGTGTCAACCGTATTTTAATTTTTTGCTCCAAAGCAAATGAAGATCTGTACTAAAATAACGTTCAAGAAACCAATGAAATTATGTGGTGTTCTGTATTGTACTACGATGGATTCACTGAACACACCCAAAGCTTTAAGCTCTTCTTCCAAAGTCATATGTTTTCTGTCACTTTGACATGTAAAAGAAAAATTTAAAATCATAATAAACGAATAAATTAAAATCAAAAAATGGTAAAAATGTTGGTGCAAAACCCTTTTCTGGAAATCAGTATTTTATATTGCTTAGTTTTCCAGTATTTTAATGAGAATTAAGAACAGTGGAAAAATAAAAATTGTAAAGAAACCTCCATTTTATTTTGTACTCTAGATTTTGAAAAATAAAATTATGAAATTGAATCATATTATGTGAAAATTTTGTTGTGATCGAGTTTCTTAAATACATACATATCGTCACATAACATCAAAAAAGCCCTAAGTTACATTTTATAAATTTTACAGAAAAAGCAAAAAAACCTAAGCAAATCATGTTTTATTAGAAACATAACAAAAGAAAAACTGATAAAGAAGAACACACACAATGTCATGGCATGTCATATTGTTTTCTATTTCTATAAAGGCGTAAGTTACTGTCTTGGTTGGCAAATTTTTTAGGCTTGCACTTAGGGCTTTTCGAATTTTGCTTATAGCAACGTTATTATTTGCTGTTGGATTAAAAAATCTTAAAGGAACATATATTATGATACGATACATGATATTCAATTAAGAAGTCGATTTCGAATTCTTTGTAACTTTTTTGATCTCATGTGACGATATGTACATACATACACCCAGATAAATTAGTCTTCCTACAATAATCATTTCGAAAAGCTGTCGAAGTTTCGTTTTTAATTTGTCCTTTAGAGCCAAAAAAAAAAGTTTGTTGTACGAGAAAAGTTTCTTGCACACATTTGTGGAAATGTTCCTTCATCTCAGTTAGTAAAAAACAAAATGCTTTCTTTTCAAAAGAAAACAACTTATTAATATGCAATAAACGTTCTTTTTAAATGGCTTTGTCAATAAAATTTTAGTTTACTCCTGGGAATTTTAGTGATCATGAAGGCTTTTCCGTAGGCGCGGCACATGAGTTTTGGCCGCACCATTTTCGTCATCGTAATATAAATAAAAACTAGTTAAGCAAAGCCTCCCCCTCGTAAATATAACTTACTCAAACCGGTACATTATTGGCACACCTGAGAACACACACAGGATCTAACCACACACGATGACACCACCACACTCAACCTTTGAGAACACCACACATAAATTACAAAAAGGATTGGATTATCGCTTCGTATCGTTTAATTGTTTTAACATCAATTCTGCTGAGTAGAGTTGTAATAGGTGTATTAACTCCAATTAATAGGGCACAAATACATATTAAATAATCTATCTAATATTAAGTAATAATCGTATATGCCATTATATAAGGGCTAGTAAAATTAAATTCAATATTTTTCCAATATATGGTTTATTGATCTGTATCTCAAGTTGTATAAGTGAAATCTTAGATTTCGTACTAATAAAACTTTTCAGACAGTTTTGTGCTTTCTTGCATCAGCATTATTAGAGCACTCTTCAAATATGGACAACAACAAAAAGATAATACGCCTTATTTTACAGTTTTTCGATAAAGGCGAAAACGCAAGCCGGGCGGCAGAACATCTGAAGTGTTTTTTATATTGATACTGTCACAACCAATGCCCCGTAACTTGGGTTTCGTCGATTCCGTTCCGGTAATTTTGCTGAAAATAGTGGAAATTGTCGAATCGAGTTTGATCGTCATGTAAGCACAGTTTCGACAACCCAGGAGCTAAACATTATACAAATACCATTTGGAACCATTTAAATAAGGGTGTGTACAAAAAGAAGTTCTATGTATGGCTTTCCGTTGCCAAACGAGTTAACACAAGAAAACTCATGGACAGAGTTCTGAAGCGGATTTTAATTGGTGATGGAAAGTGCAGGTGACCCACGTCAATGTCAAGCGCAAACTGTCGTGGTCAAGCCGAGTTGAGCCGGCGCAAACGGGTACTCAGAAATGTTTTTCTATGTGTTTGGTGTGATTGTCTGGGAATCAGCTACAGTCATCGATAGTGACTTGCCAGAAGCCCTTTATTTTGTTGTCATAAAATTATAAGAGTAAACATACAAATAACGATTTTAGAATTCACGAATTGACCTAAGAAAAAAAAAATTTTATTTACAAACTCATTGCAAGAAACAATTCACATTGATTTCATTTACATTTCCATAGTTCCCATAACTGAATCAAACTTATACAAAGTTTAAGATTGAAATTTATGTAAAAGACGTTTAAATAATTGTGGATGTCTGCAGAACTTTAAAATAAACAAGTAAAGTCAAGTTCGCCTGCAGAAGAACATTTCATATTCTCACAATTTGCAATGATAAAAGTATTGTCAAACTTTACATTAAACAAGTAAGGAAGGCTAAGTTCGGGTGAAACCGACCACTTCATACTTGGGGGAATAGTTTCAGGTGTTGGCAAAAATTTATTTTATAAAATGTTGCGAAAGAATTCAAAATTCATTGTTCAACGAAATCGGGAATGACTTCCAATCGAATTTGGTGTATTATTAATTTATATTATAGGTGATATTCTCATTAAGATAACTCACATCTTGGCCGATATATGCGATATAAAGTCAACCAGAAGTTCGAAAATCTTTATATTAGGTATATAGGGGATACGGGAAGTATTGATCCGCAACCCTTTTTCAACATACTATTGCATGCTATTATCGGGAAAGGACTCCCTTAGAATTTCAGTACTATATCCAATAGATTGACCGACATTTTCGATAAAAATTTCATAGTAGGAACTGTGGTTCACATATTCGGCATGTGGGGCTTTAACAGTTGGAGCACGATTTTGAAAATTTTTGGTCATCAGGTGGAACATTATTCGTGCAAAGTTATATCTCGATATATTCATTGGTGCTTGATTTGTATACCGAAAAGTGAAAGAATCAGATGGAATATAAACTAGTGTTATATGGGAAGTAGGCGTGGTTTTTGTCCGATTTTATCCACTTTCGCACTGTAATGTAGGAAAGTATTACCTATTGGATTTGGTTCATATGTAGGATAGTATTACCTACTGAGTTTGGTTGAAATCGGTCGAGACACGCGACATAGGTTTTCGCCTTAATGTGGGCGGTGTGGGCCAAATTTGACACCGGCTTCTATAGATCTCTTTTGTATCATTTCATCGAATTTAGTTATTATAGCTTGAATAGTTTAGGAGATACGTACATTACAGGGCGGGGCCACGCCCAGTAATAAAAACGTTTTCAACCATAGATACCCCTCGCTAATGTAATTCGGTGTACTAAATAACAGCCTAGTGTCTTATTGTGGGGTTTAGTTATGGCACTTTATATGTTTTCATGGCGTTTTGTGGACGTTACATCAGGATTTCATTGCAGGATTGGGTACCAAATTTTTACTCAAGTTAAAGCTTGCAGAGACGGACGGACGGACAGACAGACAGTCATTCGAAATTCAACCTTTTTCTGGTTACAACCAAATTTACTGGTCAGAGCAATTGTAAATAGCACAAATTTAGGAAAATTGCCAATGTATTTCTTTACGCGGTTTGTTTGTAACCAATCTACCGTGTAAAAACATAATTAGGTGTACATACATATATAAATGTTATACAAGAAATTGCTCCAATGATTACTATCTCAACGCTTAAATTTAGTTCTTCTGATGTTGCTTTAGTAGGTTATCATACTTTTGTAGTTTTCAAAATAACCTTTTGTTTGGGGGATGAGCATTTCACACATTATGACACTGTATGGTGCAATGCGTAACTGAAATATTTATAAGGACATGACTATGCCAAATGTAACATTCGTTTCTTGTTGTATTGAAATATCTACTGACTAAAGGATATGTCCGGTATGAACATGTCCATTAAATGTAACTAATAGTATTTTCGCACAGGAGTTAATTGATCAATTAACCGGCGTTTGCTCGAATAAAGCGCCAATTTAGATCGATTTACCATACAAAATAAAAATCTCATTCGAATTTTAATCGAGTTGAAACTGGAATGCAACTCTGCGGGTTGTTATCCAGGCTATAATTTTGGTTGTGTGCATTGATAAAATAACAATCAGCTGATGAATTTTAATTATTAGAAAAAATACAGGCAAGTAAAACAGGTGATCGATACTCGAGCCTATCGTTATTAATCGATTAGCCGGCTACAAGAAAGGCAAAAACTGGTTTCTCAATTATAATCTTAATGTACTAAATTAATTTGGCTGTGCGAAAAGGCTAAAAGGTATTTCTTATAATAATCGAATTTAGAAACTAAATATTTAGTTTACAATAGCAAAAAAAACCTTTCCACACGCGATCAAAACCAAACCAAGAGTTCGATTCGAGAGATTTCGAATGCAATCGTCAAGAGAATGTACCACACGATAAATTTCTCTTGCAATAACATCAAGGCTAAAGATGTATTGAACCACACTCATAAGCTCTAAAAATTCAACCGGAAGAACGAAATTATCACGATAGCGAAATGTTAAAACATATTCATTACATCGGAGTCGTACGTGGTTATTAGATGATATCTATTTTAA